GTATATTGTGATGGAAATGAATAAGCGTGCATTCTCCTCGGTAGAGATTCCGCTACCATGAGCTCCTGGCGCTGACTTGTGCGCGGTGTCGCTGCGGGCTGGCTCGCGATCCTCTTTTCCTATGTGGCGCCCAGCAACTGCGGGCCGATTACGGGGCAGCTGTGTAGTGACCGCGTAGTGGCGTAGTGACTGCGTAGTGACCGCGTAGTGACCGCGTAGTGACTGCGTAGTGACCGTGGTATTTCATGTGGGACTGTGTAGAAGCCCTAGGCATCTCTTTTGCGGTCATGTCCATAACATGTGCGTGTGAAGGTGTGTTGCTCAAAGACAAAACATTTTCATGGTAGCGGAGCTCTGGAAAGCCAGGCTTCGAGACACTCTCAGGCTTGGAAATTGCTGTTAGCTCTTTGAGGGTTGGTCTGTGAGTTGTAGCTGCGCTTCCGGTGCCATAGTGTGTGTGGCGGAAGGCAAGCCCGCTGTGTGAGAACGGTGGATCAGAGGCAGCTCTTGGCTGCCCCACTTGTTGCTTGACAGCTGTTACAATCACGGAGCCAGCTGGGTTGCACCAGTTTGCGTGGTGCTGGAGCCTACAGGATCAGAGCCCTAGATTACTTGCAAAGTGCCAAAGCATTGTGATTGAGTGGTTTGTTGAGTTCCAGCAAGGGAAGCCCGAGACAGACACCTTCGCTTTCCCAGCTCGAGAAACATCAAGAATCAAGTGCAAAAGCGTACTGAGCACACTCAGCATCTTTCCACTTTGACCAGCGCATCCCAAATCATTGCATTCGGTTGTAACATCCTTAAAGAGGACGATTCTATTTTGCAAGCGTTTCTTGGAGCCATTTTCAGTGAGCTTTGTGAGTTCGCGTCTGAGGAGGTTAAGTCAGCCCTTCAGCAGGAGCGTGCCAGCTCGCAATTTGCATCCTTAGTGCCTGCCCCCGAGGATCCCATTGATTTAGACCCCTGAGTGCCTGCAGTCAGGATGTCAGGTGTTCCCGTCTCGCCACAGGCAAGCCCGCGCGGTAGTCCGACTGGAAGCCCGACGAGTCAGGCAAATGCGGAGGAGCGCCTCTTGAGTATGCTGGACATGATGCAGCAGAATCAGCAGTTGTTGACTCAGATGACGCAGCAGCAACAGCAGCAGCAGCAGCAGCAAGCCGGGCCCAAGCCGCCAGTTCTTCGTCTAGCAGGAATACGCATGTAGGTCTTGGCGCCAGAGATCTTAGCAAAGTGCTTAAGCATCCGCCAGTGTTTTCATGCAAGACCCGGGATGAAGAGCTAGTGCGTTGGCCCTCTTGGAGTTGGGAGTTTGAGCAGTACCTGATCACCCTTGACAAGGAATTTCAAAAATGAGTTTCAGTACATCAAAGAAAATCCTAAGAAGCCACTGCCTGCAACGGCCCAAACCGCTGAGGAAGCTGATAGATCTAGGATTGTCTATGGACTACTTGCATCTTTGCTTAATGAGCGACTCAAGCAAGTGCTGAAAACGAGTCCCTCCGCCAATGGGTTTGAGGCTTACAGGCAAATCAGCGCCGATCTGAAGCCCAGTTCCAGGGCCAGAGCTTTAGCGTTGGTTTCCATGATTCATTCTTGTGGCCCGTGTTTGAGAACAAGGCTGGACTTCTCAGCCAGCTGCTTAGGCTAGAGCAAGCCATTGGTGAATACGATTCCATTGCAAGCATTCCCATGTCGGATGATCAGAAGGTTGCTTCGTTGCTTAGGTGCCTCACAGGTCAGCTTAGGCAACATGTGAATGTCCTGATGGAGGATGCGTGGACGTATGACACGCTCAGGTCAGTGGTTGTGCGCTATGATGCGTCTTCCAGCAAGTGGGGAGCTTCAGCTGCTGCAACTTTTGGCCTCACTGAAGGGAAAGGTGGAACTTTCCAGGATCGGCCGACCCCAATGGAGATTGATCGCTTGGGTAAGGACGGTAAAGGTAAAGGCGGCAAGAACCGTGAAGGTAAGGGAAATAAGGGAGTTCATAAGGGCAAAGGTAAAGGCAAAGGAAAGGGTAAAGGCAAGGATGGCAAGGCGAAAGGAAAACAAGTTCACAACGCAGCTGCAAATGAGAAATGCCATAATTGCCAGCGCAAAGGTCACTTTGCCCGGGATTGCCCATTCCCAAAGAAGGTGCAACAGGTTGAAGCCGAAGCATCTCCTTCGCAGCCCGCGTCCGCCGAAGGCAACGGTGGAAATGGGAAGCCCAAGGCTGCCCCAAAGCCGCAGGTTAGCGCCTGATGTTGAATCTTGATGACTTCAGTGAGTCAAATGAAGGTCAGGTCTGTGTTGTGCAGATGGACAGGTTGGATTGCAAACATTTCACTCCTATGTGTGCTTCAGTGCATGTTCAAGCATTGGACAGTGTGCATCAGTGTGTGATGGTGCAAGCTCAGGGCTGTGCGCCAAGGGGCCAGGAAGTTGTGCATACTTAGGGCAGAGCACTTGCCCCTCAGCCAGCACATGCAAGGTATCCAGGTGAAGGCAGCGGCCTCATGCGTAAGGTGTGGGGTTACATTAGTGGGTTGATCTCAGGGTGCTGTGTTTCCCACAATGCAGCATTGCATGAGCCTCCCTCACAGGAGCGCCGTGACTTGGATGGTGGTTGCGTCCGCATGCTGTCTCAAGATGATGAGCTTGGGGAGGAAGTTGAGTTCATTCTGGACTCTGGTTCTGATGCGTCCTGCCGGCCGCCTTCTCTGCAATGGGTTGGCAAGTTGTCTTCAGCAGACCGCAGCAAGTACTTTGATGCGCAAGGGAATCCACTTCATGTAAGCAGAACACGTAGAGCTGTCTTGACCTTCCCAGATCAGGATCAACATTGCAGCGGTGTCATTTCGGAAACCTTTCTGGTTGCTCCTTCAGTTGAAACCCCTCTTCTTGCTGTGGGAAAGATGTACCGTGCCGGTTTTGGCATCGAAAACCTTGGAGATGGGGAGATGTATTTGAGCAATCCTGATAACACCTTCAGAGCCCGTGTGTACCTCAAGAACAACAGCCTAGCCGCAAGGTGCAGGATTCGCGTGGTGAGCCAACTGGATCATGCGCGTGACGCTCCTGAGGATTCGAACTGCAATGCCCAGGTAGCGCCAGAGGTTCCCATCAGCAGTGCACAGGCATCGCCAGAGGTTCCCAGCAGCAGTGCACCGGCGTCGCCAGAGGTTCCCAGCAGCAGTGCACGAGTCGTTTCAGGTATCCCAGGTACGCAGTGCAGTGTGAGAGCCGTGCTGTGCACAATAGAGAATTTGAGCAGTCGCCACCATTTTGTTCCTGGAATCATTTCTGCTTTGATTTCCCAAATCAATTTCCATGGTATTTAGTTGCATGGATTTTCATGTTTGGAAATGCGGCACGTGGAAAGGACGTCAATCAGTTGATTTTTGAGACGTCAGTGCATTCATGAGCAAGCACATGCAATACTTAGTTTTACCCAAGCATACAGGTGATCTGTGGCTGCTGCCCCCTCCACACGGCAATGGCCAAGGTGTTTGGATGCAGCAATGCATCAGATGACGTTTTCCCCATTCGTCACAGAGGTAGGTGGAAAGCGCAAAAATGAAGGTGAGCGTGGGATTGGCGGGATTGGTGAACATCTTGCAAGTTCTTGCCCTACACTTCAAACTTTACTTGTCGATTGAAAAACGTAAGCAATAATCCCCAAACTCTAAAGTCAAAATTAACCCTAAGAATGCGTTTCTTGGTGCTTGCGGTTTCATCTCAAATTTAGTGTGCCGTCTTTAGTTTTTAGGTGAGCAGTCGGAAGTGTAAGCAACCGTGTAAGCTGACCGTTTTCCCCACGTCCTCCTAGAGCTTGCTTGTGGAATCCGCTTCGATGATCACTCTTGCAGATGCCCCACAATCCCCCCTCCGTATCATCCACTGTGTAGCCCTAAATTCCCGTGAAAAAGTTGCATCCCCCTATTTCGGACAAGAAAAGATACGACAAAAGCTCCATGGTTGGCCCTGCCTCGGTCACCTGAGCCGAGCTGCACCGAGCTGCACCGAGCTGCACCGAGCTGCACCGAGCTGCACCAATGCCCGGCACGCGCGATGCGGCGCACGGGTCCCAGGGGGCCCAGGGGTCCCAGGGGCCTTATTTCGGGAGCTTCTAAAATCGTTTGGGATGCTCTTGGAATTGTTCTTCTTTTTGTCAGTAGCATAATTGTCTTTTTTTTGCGCAGCCAGGCTTCCAGCGTACTGGTTTGAGGAGGCCGGCTCGTGTTGAAAATCAGAGCAAGGTTGCTTGACGCAAGCGTTTTAAAGGCCTTCGGTGTTCCAGAAGGAAAGTACAAGGAGATGAGAAGTGATTTCGAAGCGGCGGCAGGCCCTCCGCGATTGTGAGCACTTGTGAATTACAACCTTTGCAAACATTTGCGTTAACTTTGGACAGGTCTGCTAATCTGCAAAAGCACTGGCAAGATGTTTCAGGCTCAAACTCCAAAATCGCACAGCCTGCATTTGAAAGAGAACGTTGCGCATCCGTTGTTTTGCTGTTGGAAAAAATTGTCTGCGGTCCCAAGAGCAAGAGGCTGGCACCTTGAGAACGCCCACGCTGGCGGATTTGAAAACGCAGTTGGACACTGCTAGACAGGTGGGATTCGCATGCTGAGAAACTGCCGCGCTTAGAGACGCTGTTGATCAGGAAGGGGATGGGGAATACTATTATGCCGGGGCTCGCGGCCCAGCGAATCCCAGTTCTAGGTTACAGCCATATTACAGCCATATTAGACTATCGTACTAAGGCCCTCAGCTTCAGGAACCTGACCAGTGACTCGTTGAGCCTTTACCAAGACCCGGCGAACGCTGGCGCAGTGTTCCAGGCCAGGACGGGCCTTGAAATTCTGAGAAAATCGACAGTTCCCGCGGTTCCCCGCGTGGGGGTAGTACCAACAGCATTCTGATGATGATGCTTCTGCAAGCTCCTCAACTTTGAAAGCTGTTCACAACCTCGAATGAGGTCTGCTCTCTTTTCAATTGCTTGGAGACGGTGGATGGTTACCACCCCGAGGAGCAGCTTTTCGTCGCGTGTGGTGTGTCTCTGTGTGTGTGTGTGTGCGCGTTTCTTTTGCTTAGTTTCGTTGAGCGAGGTTTGAGGAGGCTTTGCGCTTAGAGGGAAAAATGTGAACACGCTTCGAGGAACGTGAGAATCCAAAGACCAATTATGCGGGAAAGTGCCTGGACCTTGAACAGTGAAACCAGATTAGCCAAGTGCAACGGGAACCTAAAAGTGCAGCCCACGCGCTTGAGATGGGGTGTTTTTGCCGCTAGCCAAAGTGTTCGTCGAACTTTGTCGAAGCAGACCGTCGCTAGGATGGCATCACGCACTACTGCACGAAGGTGGGCTGCAAGTAAAGCCGCGTACTCACAGATGCAAGTGCTGTGTTGTGTTCCCAAGCGAGGCCACGCAGGGCGCTACGTCTTCCATCGCCTGCCCGGCAGCAACCTTCTTCAGGCACGGGCAGCGGCGAGGAGGAGACTTTTGAGTCTGTGGTTCGAGTGGTAGCACTCAAGGAATTACTTTGTCCATTCCACAGGCCAAGGGGCCAGCCACTCATGGCACCTTGCTTTCTCAGAAAAGAAAGGTTTTGGTGAAGCTGAGGCTTCCGGCAGGCCGGTGGATCTTTTGGAGGAGTTGGCCCAGCTGGTGGAGAACAACAAGAATGGCCGCGTACCAAGTGTTTCTTCCTTATCTTCAGACATGCAAGGGGAGATCTTAGGATATTGGACTATGAAGCCAGGAGCTGAGAGGGAGCTTGCATGATATTTTCGAAGCAATTTCGATTTCTGAGGAATGGCCACTGCCTGCCACGGGTGGAGGGTAGCATAGCGAAGCCAAGCCCTCGAGCCCTCGGCTTTGGCGTGAAACTCCTTGTTCGCTTCTTGAGCTTCCTGAGGCTGAGCCACCGGCTCGCCACCAACCACGACTTGGAGAATCAAGCACGTGACGTTGTCCAGGCAGGGGCCCAAAGGCACCGGAGAGGTCTCGCCATGCTCAGATGTAAGTCAGGTGGGGGTGCACTGGGAGACAGAGGCCCGGAGCCTGCTCCGTTCCGTGAAAACGTGAAAGGCCAAGTATGTGAAAACATGAGGTCTGGCAGATGAGCCACCAGGTCTGCCAGGTAAGCACAGTGCGGCCCAGAAGTGGAAGCTGCGTGAGTTTTTTCTGTTGAGAGACTTCTTTCGCCAGGTCCTGTGCGGTGCTTTGCCCGTGGGTTACCTCAAAGCGGTGCGATCCAATGACTGGTACGTCTTTGCCAAGGCAAAGACCAAGCCTTGGCTTGAAGTTGTCATTCTACGGGCTGAGAGGTGGTTCTTCAAGCAGCCTACGAGGTCCTCGGCTTTTGCTGGAAGGATGTGTCAACGTGTGTCAACCTGCCTTCAGGCAACTCTGACAGTTGCCTCCTGCTTGGTGGCTGCCTGAGACCTCCCTCGGTCAGCAAAGGGGAGGTTCCGGTGTGTCATGGCTGAGGCAGCTAAGAGAGGGACGAGGGTCAAGGCTCCGGAATCCTCTTTGCATCTCGCCTGGTGCCACGAAGTCGATGCAGGTCTTCCTGACGGCGGTTGGAGCTGGATCCTTGAGCAACAGGCCTAGAGATGCTAAGAATGGCTAAGAGAGACGAATCGCAAATGCTCGCAAATGCTAGGGTTTCCTGGATAGCCAGCAAGCAGCTCAGCTCAGAAGCGGCTCAGCTATGCGGCTCAGCTCGCCTTAGCCTTGGACCTTGGAAGTGCTGGTTCTCAGGCGCCTTGGAGCGCGCACTCGAGAACTTTGCCTCGGAGCTGCGTAGCCTTTTTTTGGTTTTGCACAAGATGTGCTCTGCTTCTATACGAGGAGCCGCTGGATGTGATATTGGTCCACTTCTCGTCACCCCTTCCAGACTTCGAAGATCTGGAGGCTGATCCAAGCCCCAAGTCAATAGAAGTTAAGGCATCGAGATCCCCATTTGTTTTCGAGGCAGGAAGAACCTCGTCCTCGAGCGTCAGGCCCTTCACGCCCACGACGCCCTCCCGCCTTGTGGAGCTTCTTGGCTTTCAGATCTCGAAGTTTGAAGGCTGAAAGGGGGTGCGATGAGATGCATTTGATAGGAAGCTGCGCGATTACGGCGTGGAGGAACAGCCAGAGGAGCTCCCTAAAGACTCTTGCGGTTTGCTTTAATGAAAGCTCCGAGTCAGGAAGACGAAGTGGCCATGATGAGGACAGAGATCTGCTCACACAGAAGCCGTTTGGAGCCAGATATCCGTCGCATGCATGTGGTATGCACAATCCGAAATCTGAGATCCTGTCTGGAGTGAGCAAATGGTCCAGAAAGAAGCACCATGTGCTAGTCGCTCTGCAGGAGGGCGTTCTCCTTGCATGACCAGAATGGTGATGGAGAGGGGGACTCAGCAACTGGCCAAATCACATTTCACATACCTCACATTTCGTCCTTCAAAGCTTTGACCTCTTTGAGGTACTTGATCGTGCCGAGTTTTTCACCATGCTGCACAAGCTGGATGAAGAGCCCTCTTGCTTGCAGAAGAGAAAATCAATTTGTACTTTGATTCTTAGAGCATGGCTGAAGCCCACATGTCATGCCCCACGCCCATTGGGATAATGGGATCATGGAAAAGAAAGTGGAAACTATTTTTTTAGGGCGTATGGCCATTATCCCACCTCGCATCTGCGCGCAGGTTCTTCACTCCGCACGTGGTCGATGTTTTGCTGAAGGAGGCGCCCCCAAAGCCGCTGCAAAAAGTGTAAGCAAGGGACCTTTCCAAGGTTCACCTTGCGTGCCGTTGCGTGTGCTGCTTTTGAGGCTGACGTGGACCAAGATGGTAAGATCTACTACCATGAGTTTGTTCGCTGGATCTGCCAGGAGCCACGCAAAAAAGAAAACAAGAACACGCCAGCTATTATGTCTAAGTTGCCTTTTGAAGGAAGACGAGGACATCGTGAACCGTGTCTTGCATTGAGCAAGGAATTCACTGTGCAAGGCGGTGCAAGGCGGGTACTTGCGAAGCAATCCCGGCCCTGCCTCGGCCCTGCCTCGGTCCCTGCCCGCGATGCAGCTTTTACGAAAAAAACATCTCTTGTGGGAGCGATGCCCTGGATGGGTGAGAGCGAAGCAAGTTTGAAGTAGTTATACCTTAGGCCGCTGCAGGGCTTGCTTTCGGGTGTGCAGATGGGCTTTTCGGCTGCAGGAAACTGAGCCTTGCAAGGCGCCAAGCCATGCATATCGGCAGCCATCTCGACTATAGCAGAGGTACTATGAGCCAAACACTCACCAAGGCACGCCTATCGCAATTGCTTTCTTCTTTTTTGGCTTGGCCACGCTTGTTGGTGCAGGATTGTTTGCCTTGGTTCACCATACTGGGCCAACCTATGTCGTTCCGTGGTGGGCTTATGAGGATGATGATGTGAGGGGGTTTGAAGCGCGCCCGATCGCTTTCAAGCGAATTCGTGTTGCGTGCTTCCGCGGCTGCTGCTTCGCAGGATTGTTGCCTGGCTTCTTTTAGCCTTTTCTGTCGGCAGACTGCCGGGTGGGGCCAGAACACGGTCGCCGTATTCCTCACGACTTGGGTCCTGGGTCATTTAGGTTTGCTTGTGTGCTGGATTTTCCTTCAGATCTGACAAGCTAGAAGGCTGCTCAAGCACAACCCGCGGCCTGACATCCCAGAAGTGGCGGACCTGCCGATGAAACCGCAACTGCCAGAAATGGCTAAGTTTGCCGAGGCTACGGAAACAAGAACCAAGGCATTACAAAAAAGGGAGAGTGATCAGCAAATCGGCCATCATCGACATGAGATCAAGGAGGCGAACAAGGTGCGGATGCAATCAGCCGCCATGGAAGGACCTCCCCTATTTTTATGCTTCGGAAATGCCGCTACTTGTACAAGATAGGCTTGCGGTTTGTGGAGGACATCCCCTCTTTTCTCCAGAGCTATGCTGACGTGGCCATCTATGGGGGAAGTTGCTTCGCTGTTTTTAGCCTTGAAGGTTCCGTGGTTCAGACGCTTATCTACGTCATTCTTTACATCAGAGATCTCGTGGAAACGATATCACGCCCGCCGGACACAGAATAAGCGCAAGCTGCAGAGTGTCCCCGTCAACAACCGAACAGGTTGTGTTTTCTAATAAAAAGCAGTGTGTAGGTATTGGTTCGGCCAAGCCCAGGCCAAGCCTTTCAGATTGGTCTTGATGTCAGAAATGCTGTGTTGAATGAAAAGGGCTGTTTGCTTCGCAGTATCAGTATCCACTGCATCTGCTTACAAACGCCCGGAAGCAGACCTTGCAGAAAGCTTGAGGCTGGACCCTACTGATTCGACGGCCCCAGGCCACATCTTTCAACGGGCCATTGATGCACTCCAGCCAGGTTCTTGAAGTCAAGACGCACATGGACAGACGACCAGCAGCAAAGTGAATTCGAAAACAGTTCTCTGGTGGAAAAAGCCGACGCTCCGCCCCGCTCCGCGCCATGCCCCACGGCCTCCATGGCAGATCCAGCAGAGGAGCGACGCCAGGCGCCAGGGCCACCGCAAGGGCCACCGCAAGGGGCCGCAAGGGTGAACGAATGTACGAGAGTGCTCTCTACTTGGTCCCTCGGATGTGTGGCGACCCCAAAACAATTTTGGATGCTTCAAGTTCAGTTCAAGAGGAGAGATCAACTCAGGTAAAGAACTCAGAAGAGAATTGCAAGGGATCGGAAAGGTTTCAGAAGGACTTCAGCGTGTTTCAGAAAAGTTCAGAAGGGTGTTTCAACTGTCCTAAAAGTATCTGGGCTCGTGCAACTCCGCACAAGTCAGAGCCCCCAGCCAGCGGGATTCGCTCGTTTCACTTCTGCTACATGATAATAATGATTTGTCGGAGGTTGCATGAAATCGCCAGGTACTCCACTATGCAGCAGGCGGCGCAACGACTGACTGACCCGCAGACTGTGTCCAGACTCAGGGTTAGGGTTTTAGACTCACATCTTGTCAGTCAATGGTCGATCGGACCTCATCTCCTTGGCCATAGAGCAGGACTTTGTCTTTGCTTAGGGGAAGTGTTGGGTCGAAGCTTCCGCGTGTGAGGAGGTCGCGGCGTGACCGGCATGTTTGAACTCCGTACTTCCGTACTTGTGTTTTGGGATGGAGTTGACGCAAGAGGCAAATGAGGCAAGAGGTAGAGAAGAAGGGTCCATGTTGCAGACAGGCTGAAGGTGCCGCGTTTGGGGCAGCCGCTCTGGCAGCACCCTTCGTCTAATCATTGCAAGTTTGCGGTTGTAAGCAAGACAAGGTTGAGTCACTGCTTGGCTGGCAGAACGGTGAGAAGGCAGCTTTGATGCCACCGAGTGATCCTGTTGTAAATGTCTTGCAACCAGCGAAAGCTTGGGACGAATCGGAAGCCCTTCAACAACCGTTCAGGGGACTGCTTTGCACGAAGCCACGCGCGCGGGCCATGTGGACGTGGCTCCTCGGCCAACTGACAGCCTTCCTGGTTGACGGCTGGCAATCTAATTGAAACATCAAGCACGTTGCACACGTCAAGCAAGTCTGGTTGGCAGAGTTGGTGCAGGTGCGATTGCTGCTGCTGCGTGGGGCGCCTGCGAATGCCCGGGATACTCACGGCCGATCAGCCTACCAGGCCGATTTGCTGAGCCGGCCCCACAACAAAACGAGCCTTTGAGTTGCAAAGGTGGCGCAGGCTGAAGGCGCAGCAGAGAAGCCAGAACCCTGAAAACTGGGTGCAAGTGTCGGAGCAAAGGCTTCCGACATTCGGACATTCGGCTTTGCAGCAGAGCTTTTCCCAGGTTCTCCCAGCTGCGTGCGGCCTTTGAAGCAGAGCCGCGGCCTCGGGAGCCAAGTGCAAGAGGAAGAAGCGTTTTGGTCGTTCGGTTCAAGGCTCTTCAAGCGCTGCGCCGAGGGCGACCTGGCCACCCAGCAGAAAAGAGGAGACTCTTCTTAAAACTGAGCTGGTGAAAGCCTGGCTTCAGGCAGCCGCCGAGGCCTTGGCCCTCAGCGGCGTCGACCTGAAGGCGGACCAGGCGACTGTTTCTTCTGCATAATTTTTCAGGGAGGCTCCATGCATCGAAAAAAAACTGGGATCAGATCAAGGCACTTGAGCATGCAGGTCCAGGTTCAGAATCCCACTCGACACTGTGCGTCCTTGCTAGACTATAAAAAAACCCTTCCACTGCTTGTATCCAGCAAAGAGGTGTAGCTTGCCCAACGCGTGATCCTTGCCATGTGGTTTGCCAGGCGGGGTACAGTCCTTCGGCTTGGGCAGAGCTCTTCGGCCAGACCGAAGTGGCGCGGCGCATGCAGGCCAGCGAAAGGGAAGGGGAAGGGGAACTTTTTTCTCGCTGAATTCAAGGGCCTTTTTCCAGGAGCTGGTGGCCGGCGAGGTCAAGGGTGAGAGCCTCGAGAAGCCGGCCTCGGAGCCTGAGGGCTCTGAGGAGCCGGCGCCAGAGCCCGTGGAGCCCGCGCGCGCAGCACCCAAGCAAGCTCTCACTCCCAGCCTGTTTGGATTACGAAGAGCATGCAGCATGCCCCTTTCCCCTTTCGAGGCTTTGCCGAACTTCTGCTTTGGCCTCCCGTCTTCGCCTACGTGGAGGCGGAGGTGACGCTGAGCGGCCCCAAGGCTCGGAAGTGCTGAAGTGAGGGCGCCCTCAACGTAAAGAAAATCATCGAAGTGGGCCTTGGAGGTGACCCTTCGCTTCCCCCCAAGCCTTGGCCCGGAATCCTGCGCCCCTCGGCCAGCAAGCCCTGCATCTGAAAAGTCTGCAAAGTCCTTCGAAAAGGCAGCCGAGGCAGCCGAGGCCTGCAGCCTCCTTGAGGAGCTGACTTGCAGCCTGCAGGCCAAGCGGCAAAGCAAAATTTCCGTAAAGCGTTCTTGCGTAACGCTTCAACGCGTTCTCATCCTTCCATGGCGTAGTGACTGCGCGCATGATGCAGCATGCAGCATGCTTTGAGGGAGGATGGTCTTTGAGAAGGTAGGCCCGGGTAGGCACTTGAGGGCGAGTTGGTGCCGCAGCTGCGCTCACCGGGCTGCCCGGCGGTGCCGGCAGCTGAGGCGAAGCTTTTTCCGGTGTCGCTTTCTGCCTCTGCCGATCTTTTTCCGGTGTCCTTCGTGGCCTTCGTGAGGAGCTGCTGGTGGATCTGTGGCTCGAGGCCTCGCAGGGCCCACCAAACCAGCACCGACTCCGAGTCCGGCAAAACCACATCGACCTCACGGCAGGCTCAGTACAGGCGGCTGGGGCGGCTAGGGTGCGTTTGAGAAGTAAGCCGCAGGGAAGCACTGGTAATTTCTGGATGCCTTTCAAAGAATTCACAACAGCATCTCAATGTGAGGCACTGGTGGAAGCCGCGCAGGATCTGAGGCAATGCTGGAAGAATGTTGCAGATCAACGCCCTCAGTGTAAACTTGATCCAGGCAGTTGCTGAAGCTCCACGCTGCGCGCGCCGCCACAGGAACTTCCCCCTCGCCTTTCCCCAGCCTTCAGCTGCCGGGCCTCTGCCTCGCCAGCAAAGCAAGGAGCCCCTCGGCAAGCTGAGCAGAGCTTGGAAAAGACTTGTTTTTGATTCTTAGTGAAAGTCTCCCCTCCCCAGGTTCTCCTCTTTGCGATGCCGCCGTCTTCCTGGACCTCTGGCGGCTCGCGGGTTCCGAGCGGAGCGGGGCGCTTCGCCAGCTGGCGCGTTGGCGCACCAGGCGCGAAAGGTGAAAGGAGATGTTAGGGTTTGGGGTTTAGGGTTTAGGGTTGAGAATGCTCCAGGCATGTCTGCACCAGTTGTCAGGTAGTTCAGTTGTTTGCAGGTTTGGACTTGTAGCACCTTGGATTTGGCTTGCTTCCTGCAATGCCTTGGCTCTAGGAGAAGGCTACGAAGTAACACTCTTGAGCCATGAGTTTGTGTACAGTAGTCTACACACGTCTTTGTAAAGTGTATAGTTTGTAGACGCCGTCCTTGAGAGGAATTGATTCTTTATGTTCTGTGTT